GAAAAACATAAATTGATACTAATCAAGAAACTATACCACCATGACCACTTCTGCCACATTTCTAAGAACTCTTAAAAAGCTATCCCTATCAGCTGATCAGGAGGCAGATCTCAAGATCTGAATGGCTTGCCCAATGTCCCTCAGCTGATAAAGTGCACACCTTAAGGTTTCTCGTATCCCCACTATTTCAATGGATTTTATTTTAAAATACTCAATTCTTATAGAATCAAGTTTCATTCTAACTTAGAATTCAAAAATTGGTGAAATGTTAGAAAGACAAACTTTCTACATTAGACTGTTATATAGAGTAAATGCTTCATATGTTCCTATTAAAATAAGCTACAGGAGAGGTGACAGGGAGCGCTAACAAGTTATAAATATCAGAACTCTAGCCAAGACAGATAAAATTTTCTACCTCACAAAAAGTTATAGCAATTAGATTCCATATTGTTGTAGGACCTATTTAAGTGCTATAATGACAACATTATTGTTTAAAGAGTCTTAATTCTTCCTGTTCTGTGATGCTATCTTATCAAGGCCCAGGTATCTGGCATGAACATCTTGAAAAGATGTGTAATCAATAAGGATGCTAAAGATAAATTGTTAGATATGTGAAGCAAATACTTCCTTTCACTGTAAACAAAGTGACGGAGTCCACTTCTTGAAGAAATCAAGCTCTATTTATATTCTCTCTCCTGAAATGGCACAGGCAGCCTTAGAAGGATAAGTTTATAATAAATCCCTATATTTGGAAAACATTGTTGCTAAGCATCTTCTAACATTCAACAGAGTTTATATAATTCATGTCACTGCTACATAATTAACATTTCATGTTTTCCAAAAGAGTGCAGAATGCTTATCTATGTCGTTCATTTAAAACATTATAAATTTTGAGGGAATTAATAAAAGGCTATGCAACTAATTAATTAGAAAGGCAGCCTAATCCCAGAAGGAATACAAACATAGACATTAAATGTCAGGATGTGTTAGAGCCTCGCTTGTAAACAGCTTGTCCACTTGAGATAAAACATTTCAAAATGCAGCTGCTCTTTGCTAAAAAAGGTGAGCCACAAAACATTATATCGTTGCACAAGTCATGACATATCAAACCACACTCTAGCTCAAAAATTAATTATAAAGAAAATGTAACATGTGAAAATAAGCTTCCCATCCAAGCATCAATACTGAACATTCTATCTGCTCAAATCATGGCAGATCGAGTGTTGAAAGCAACACTAACCACTGTGATATTTCCAACTTTCAAATTCATTATAGGAACAAAGTCAAAAGATGCAGGATACATTTTATAACACTCAAAAGATTAGAAAAGTTGAGAGTAAGCATACTATAAGATGTACTATCATTCTTACAAATTATGGAATAGATTGTTAACCTTGTATCCTCAGGAAAAACATGCATAATGTATGTACAGACTACCGACACAATATACACACACAGTAACATTTTGATTTCAACCACACTGTGCAGGAAAGCACACCTATGTGTAAAGTTACATTCAGACAAACGGGCCCTACTGAAGGATATGAAGGCCACATGGTACGTAGGCAGCTAATGAAGGCTAGGATTAGTAAGTAATGGGGATATTTCCTGGTTGGTCTTTCCCATTTCTTTTTCTAACTCTTCTTATCCTTTTACCCTCATTTCTTCCTTGCTTTCCTTCATATCCTGGATAGATCACTATTGCAAGGGCACTAAAATATCATTTATTCCAATTCTCTCAATTTATAAGTGGAAAAAACTAAAGCTCAGATGAGGCAAAGATCACAAGCCTGATTGGAAAGGTAGGTCTATCCACCTCACGATACTTGCCCAGTATTGTGGTGCAGGGGTTAAGCCACAGCCTGCAATACCAGCTTCCCATATGAGTACCAGTTCAAGTCACTCCTTGTTTGTGCCTGGGAAAACAGTGGAAAATGGCCCAAGGCTTTTGCCATCATGTAGACACAGAGTTCCAGGCTCCTGGCTTCAGCCTAGCTCAGTCCTAGCCATTGTGGCCATTTGGGGAATGAACCAGCAGATGGAAGATCTCTCACTCTCTCTCCTTCTCTCTTAACTATGCCTTCAAACAAATAAATAAATCTTTACAAAAAATTCTTTAGTTACAAACACTATTTATAATATTAATATTATTTACTAAATATTGTAATATTAATAAATTAATAATTATTTATTATTTATAAATCTAATTGTTATTTATTTATTTGAAAAGCAGAATGACAGAGAGGGAGAGACAGGGAAAGACAGAGATTATCCATCCAGTAGTTCACTCTCCAAATGGCCAGAAGAGCCAGGTCTGGCCAGGCCAGAGCCAGGAGCTTCATCCTAGTCTCCCATATGGATGGCAGGACCCCCAGGACTTGGGCCATCTTTTGCTGTCTTCCTAGGAACAGTAGTAGGGAACTGGAGAGAAAGAGCATTCAGGACTTGAATTAGCACTTTAATAGGTTTTCCAGGTTGCAAGTGGTGGCTTAACTGCACCACAATTCCAGCCCCCTAACACACATTTCTTAAATGTCACTCTGCTATAAAAAGTTAAGAGTACGACATTACATAATATACCATATACTAGTATTCAGGACAATAAACACAAAACCATATGTATTTTCCCTACATTCATCTTTTTAAAAACTATCTTCTTATAATGAATTATTACTAGGTCAGGGAAAAATACATCTATTCAATACCTGGATGGATATTTTCTGCTTTATAAGTGGATCCTATCCTTTGTTTCATATATTAAAATTAAATCATAAAGCTTTTTATCACTCTGAAAAACATCCATGCTTTATTATTTCATTTGTTTGATGAGTAGAAAGTAAAATAACCCTAAGTTTAAATCCTTACCTTGTCACATACTGGCTGAGACCTCTGCTAAGTCTATTTATCTTTCTAGCACATGCTTAGTAAGAGGATTAAACGAAAGAATGTTTTTCCTTTCTCGCCTTCTCACTCCCCAGTCTGTAGAACCTTTTTCTATTTAACCATAGCATTTCCTTTTCCCATTGAAGTTAACTACATTTCCCATATTTTTATGAATGTTTTATTATTGCACTACAAATCTTTTTCCTTCATCAGACTATGTTTCTGCACAGCAAGAATCCTCGAGTACATGAAATGCATCAAAAGTAAAAAATGTCTGGGGCCAGCGCTGTGGTGAGGGGATTAAAGCCCTGGCCTGAAGTGCCGGCATCCCATATGGGCGCCGGTTCAAGACTTGGCTGCTCCATTCTGATCCAGCTGTCTGCTATGGCCTGGGAAAGCAGTGGAAGATGGCCCAACTCCTTGGGCCCCTGCACCCACATGGGAGACCTGGAAGAAGCTCCTGGCTCCTGCCTTCGGATCGGTGCAGCTCCAGCCGTTGCAGCCATCTGGGTAATGAACCAGCAGATGGAAGACCTCTCTGTCTCTACCTCTCTCTGTAACTCTGTCTTTCAAATAAATAAAATAAATCTTAAAAAAGAAAAATGTCTGGTAAAGGATGTGGAAGACTGAATACTTGCCTAGACACCATGCACAAGTCCAAATCAATGCTAACACAGTTAAATGGATCATCATTAAATGATCATCTAAGGGAATAAAGGAAGCAAAGCTACACAATGACACTACTGCTTCCTGATCCCTAAGAAATCCATTTTTATGACCAGGCCTATGACTCCATGTGCAGTTAGAAGTGGCACAGAAACTAGAGAAGAACGCAGTCCTTCCTGTATTCATAGACCGTAATGTACTGAAAGAATGTTTTTATTTGCCTTGGTACACTATACAACCTATAGTCTCTGATTACCATGAATGGTCTAACCTGGAAATTGTGGTGATGATGAAATACAATGAAATAAATCACATTTTCCTAACCGAAATGAAGATACTCAAAGATTCCTAAATATTTTTCCAAGTTTTATTTTCCTACCTTCTTTTCCTTCTCTAATCTCTCTCCCACACACATCAAGCCAGATAAAAAGGATGAAAGGACTAAATGGAAAGTCTTCAAAGCCCACCAAGTTAGAAAACCATCAATCAATGATTTGGAGGTAAAAGTCACCATATCTCTAAACAAAAGCTCTAAAATAACTAAAATCAAGAGTTAATCTTTCTTCAAAGCACCTTATAAAGAAGAAAATGCAGAATGCTACAACTGTAAAAAAAATTCCTCCCAAGTATAACAGGACATAGAAACATATGCCCATACAAAAAAAGGGGGGGAGGTAAATTTAAGGAACCTCAGATTACCGACAGACTATAGATGTTTTGTGGTATGCCCAGCCTTTAAAAATTACTAGAAAACAAACATATCATCTCAGACTCAAAAAAAAAAAAAAAAAAAAAAAGAGAGACAATCAGATTCTTTTCAGTACATTATTACCTTGGTGGGTTAAGTATTTCAACCACTTATAAAAACTGGCTTCATTTGAATACAGATTTCATAGTTAAGGTTACTCTGAAGAATTGTACAAACAGTAAAAAGGTCTTAAGGGCTTCCAAAGTAACTACAGCTATGCCTGGAAACACAAGGAGGCAAGTGATTAATAATAGCCCTTAAACATGTTCAGAGTAAAAATATCACTGTCACATTCCCTGTAGAATTACTGAGCTTTGCTGAGTAATGTTTAGCACGTCAACATATACCAGGCTGCTTAATGAAAATTGTGATCCTCTTGCAGACACTTTTCCCTAATTTCCATAGCATAATATTAGAAAATATCATCGGCATCAATACTGTCAGCAATGCACAAGATTACATGTGTGTTTACACTTAGGAAGTCTGGAAGGATATGTGGTTATTTGAAGGAGGTATGTTTAAGGGTTTTCAAAATATCTTCTTGGTAATTTTCTGAATCATCAGCTCTTTTTCCAATAAATATATATTTTAATTAAACAAATAAAGTTATTCCTATTAAGAAATAAGTGAGACATAAATTATCAGCATGTAAATAAACTGGAGTTAAGGACATCACAGACACACCATAGCAAACCATGCTCACCTGCTTCATTACACAAAGCTTTCAAGTCTGCTCCAACATATCCATGGGCACTGTTAGCCACCTGCAGCAGCTCAGCTTTAGTGAGCAAATGGGGTATCCTTCGAAGCAGTTTCTGGAGAATGTCTAACCGGTCCTGAGCATTAGGAACTCCAATCTCAACCTCTTTATCAAAACGCCCAGGTCTTCGGAGTGCTGCATCCAAAGCTTGAGGACGATTCGTGGCCCCAAGGACCAAGACCTGTCCTTCACTTCCTTCCTAACAAAATAAAGTGAATAAAAATTGCATATTTTTCAAAATGTCCAAAAAAGGGGGATGGGAGAGGCAGTCTATATAAGAGGGATAGACTGAATTGTCCACGCAATGAGGTCCTATCTCTTACACCTTTATTACCCAGCGGCTATAATGTTTCTTTCCATGAAAAGTCTTCCAAAACTTACCACCCACTCTAAGTGATGTCTCTATAACTGCTGACACCTTTGTACCATTCTTATAAATAACATATGATATTCTACCTCAAGGTTATTCTGTTTAATTGTTTTAGGTAGTCCTTTCCCCTCCCGCTTTGAAACAAAGATTATGAATTACATATTATTCAGATAAAACAAAGCCCTACTGGGAAGTTGTCTAAAAAAAAAAAATCTTCCTCACGGACTTTCTTCTTTTGATAAACTTTAAATTCCCCCAAAATACAAACAATATAGCCAATATCTGAGTACCAGTCACTCTTGACTATGTATGTATTTCTACTCTCTGAAAATAAAATTAACTTACAAAGAACTATGATCCTGATACGCCACTTGTATAAAGTATCCAATATTTTATCAGGTGACCCAAGAAGAATTTTGCAGAGACAAGCACAACTGGAATGTGACTTATCTAAGAAAATTCAAACCTGACCAATTATACTAGATGTGCCAACAGAAAATGTATGGACTACAGTGAACTGATAAAACACAAATTCACAACAAATACAAGCACTTAAATATTTTTTGGCCAGGCCGGCGCCGCGGCTCACTAGGCTAATCCTCCGCCTAGCGGCGCCGGCACACCGGGTTCTAGTCCCGGTCGGGGCGCCGGATTCTGTCCCGGTTGCCCCTCTTCCAGGCCAGCCCTCTGCTGTGGCTAGGGAGTGCAGTGGAGGATGGCCCAGGTGCTTGGGCCCTGCACCCCATGGGAGACCAGGAAAAGCACCTGGCTCCTGGCTCCTGCCATCGGATCAGCGCGGTGCGCCGGCCGCATCGCGCTGGCCGCGGCGGCCATTGGAGGGTGAACCAACGGCAAAGGAAGACCTTTCTCTCTGTCTCTCTCTCTCTCACTGTCCACTCTGCCTGTCAAAAAAAAAAAAAAAAAAAAATATTTTTTGGCCAAAACATCAGCATCACCTGCTGTTAGTCCTGCCTGAAGGCCAAGAACAGCATTCCAGACTGGAATCCTCTGACATGTCAGAGACAGAGGCAGCAAACTGACATGTCCAACAATGAGCCTTCTAAATGATTTCCTGTTCACCAAGGACCCTTTCAGTTATAATACCACTCTCTAGGTATATTTGCCTTCAGGGTGAAAATACGGTCATCAATAAATGAAGATATTTCATCTGCTTTGTTATATCTGTTATTATAAAGGCTAAACTGGTGGCCCAGTTTATATACCAGTCTCTTAAGAGAACTGTTACGAGTCAGGCCTCAAGGTTCCACCCAGCTTCACAATGTGACAACTTTTTTCTTATGTATCCTTAAAATTTTTAAGTCTCTCAGAGAATTTTTCTTCATTCCTGTTATGTAATCTTATGGACCTCCTTTCATAATTAGCAATAAGAATGTATACCCAAGCAGACAATCAGAGAATAATGATTGACTTCTTTATAAATATTATACACAGCCAGGCGATGTGGTGCAGTAGGTTAAGCCACCAGTTGGGATGCCCACATCCCATATCAGTACTGGTTCAAGTCCCAGCTACTCCACTTCCCATCTTGCTTCCTGCTTTTGTATCCTGGGAAGGCAGCAGATGATGGCCCAGGTATTTTGACCCCTGGCATCCATGTGGGAAACTTGCATGTTGCTCTGGGCTCCTGGCTTCAGCCTGACCCAGCCTGGCTACTGCAGGCTGAAATGATTTTTACAATAATAATAAGATTCATAAAATTCCTTCATAAACCTCCTAAAATTTAGCTTGCTGATTCTTCTATACTGCTTTTTGCCTTAGGTTTTTTAAGTTAATACCATTTATAAAAGAAATCCATCATATCATATTATTTTATATGCTAGAAAAACATGCCAGGTTATATTGTTCTAGCATTCACTAGTCTACTGAAGCAAATTATTTCCTTTAGTCTTTCCTCTAGTTTCTGTGGCTAATATTTTCCCCTTACCCTGGAATATTTCAGACACAGTCAACGTTTGCTGCTATATATATATATTAAAGTATATGAATAAGAACCAACTCATTCCTACACAAGGGTAGTGCTATACTTACTGAACCAATACCATCCATCAGGGTTAAGAGTGAAGCTACAACTCTTTTCTCCACTTCATTCTGAGCCCCCTCTCTTTTAGGACAAAGTGCGTCCAGCTCATCAATAAAAATAATTGCTGGCTGCCTTAAAAAAAAAAAAAGGTAAAAATGAAACTTCTGATTTGCATGTCTTTTTAAATTTTACTAAGTTTCAGTTTTTTATCTGATACCCAATTTATCAAATTTAGGACTTACCTAGTAATATACAAAGGCATTAGAATGTTGATGCTAAAAAACTTTATATTAGTTTTAGTCCAATTAACTCACCAACCTCATATTCTAGTTTATCCGCCCTCAATTAAAAGGCAGACTTTTGAGAGAAGTCTATTGTCATTGAGATGAGAGTACAGGCACAACTCTCTCACTAGCGCCCACTAAATTATTATGATCAGATCAATTCAGAAGTTGAGGTCAGAAATATCCCTTGGAACAGGTTTAAAGCCCACAGCATACAAAACAGAAGCACCCTCTTCTTTTTAACCTTTTAAAAAAGGAACTTTCAAGAAGTTCAATTCTCCTATGAAATGTTGTAAATCTTCTCACAAGAGGAAACCTCAACTACCATTAAGACAACAAAAACACACTTCCTAAATATGGTATAGCACTAAGTTTCAAATGTTCAGTATTGGAACTACAAACTTACTTATTTCATCTACTATTCCTGGAGAGGGAAATTTTTAAAATAGCAGCTTTTCTGAGAAAAGCAGCAATATGCTTTAAATACCAAAACAATGAAATAGACACACAGTCATATTATGAATACTATTGCAACAGGCCAAGTTATAAAACACTCATTGTGCTGTAAAAATCTAGCCTGAATTCAGGAATAATCAATAAATTTAAAAGATTGGCCCCATCTGAAGCAAAATATAATGAAGACTGAAGTATAAAGGACAATGATAATGCAGGCTACCTAAGGGAGTTAATAAACTGGATGTTCCCAAGCACCCTCAAGAGTCATAAAATTATATGCTCAAGGAAGGTCACATGATTTACCACCCTATCTTAATTCATCAACTTTATGTACTTTAACAGATCACTGCTCAAACTTCTAAAAATAATATTAGATAAATTAGACAGAATTTCCTTAGTTCCATAATCTGTTTCTAATACTATCACTTTTTTTAAAACTATTCTTTATGCTTTGTATAAAGTGTTAGTATCTCACTTTAATACTTTTTTATTAATTTAAAAACATAAAATTAAAGAATACCTTTGAGTGGCTTCAGCAAATATCTGACGTAATTTTGCTTCAGTCTCACCATAGAATCTGTAACAAATAAAATCATTTAAGGAATATTTCTTAATGTTTTCAAGCTTTGTCTCTAAAGGCAAATATTTCTAAAATATTTTAAGTTACATTCAAAAATTATGTTTCTACATACTAAAAATCAAATTTAAAATGTTCAGTGTATGACATACCCAGGTAGAACACCACAGAACCATTTTTAAAAACCATCTTTGAAGGGTCAGTGTTTGGCACAATAGGATAAACTTCCGCTTGCACACCAGCAACCCACATGGGCGACGGTTCAGGTCCTGGCTACTCCACTTCCAATCTAGCGCTCTGCTAATGCGCCTGGGAAAGCAGTGGAAGATGGCCCAAGTGCTTGGACCCTGCACCCACGTAATAGATGGGGAGGAAGCCCCTGGCTCCTGGCACTGCAGACTTTTGGGGAGTGAACCAGCTGATGGAAGACCTTTCTCTGTCTCTCCCTCTCTCCGTAACTCTGCTTCTCAAATAAATATTCTTAAAAAAAAAAAAAAAAAAAGGTTGAAGGCTGGCGCCGAGGCTCACTAGGCTAATCCTCCGCCTGCGGCGCCGGCACCCAGGTTCTAGTCCTGGTCGGGGAGCCAGATTCTGTCCCGGTTGCTCCTCTTCCAGTTCAGCTGCCCAGGAAGGCAGTGGAGGATGGCCCAGGTGCTTGGGCCCTGCACCCACGTAGGAGATGGGGAGGAAGCCCCTGGCTCCTGTCTTCATATTGCCCCAGCTCCTGGCACTGCAGCCTTTTGGGGAGTGAACCAGCTGATGGAAGACCTTTCTCTGTCTCTCCCTCTCTCCATAACTTTGCCTCTCAAATAAATATTCTTTATAAAAAAAAAGGTTGAGAAGTATATTTGATAATATTAACTTCAGTGAATCATGCACCTACTTGCTTATAATTTCAGGACCATTAATTACAGAAACATAGGCTCCAACTTCATTACCAATGGCTCTGGCAATCATTGTTTTTCCAGTACCTGGAGGACCATAGAGTAACACTCCTCTAGGGGCAGGAATTCCTATGCAAAAAACAGAGAACATTGGATTCATCATTATTAGGTTTCTTATAAATACTGTCAAGCAATTCCAAAGATGAGTTATAAAATATAAATTTACCTTGCAACACAAGAGGCAAACAAGAGTGTAACCTTCCTGCTTCCCCACCTCACCCACACAAAGATATACTAACCAGGCCAAACACTGACCCCTGGAAGTGACTTGTTCTTTCTGTACACCACAGATCAGGGGGTGTGTAATGGTTAAAAAAAAAAAAAAAAAAAAAAAAAGGGCCAGTGTTGTTGGTGTAGTAGGCTAAGCCTCTGACTGCAGTGCCGGGACCCATATGGATTCCAGCTGCTCCACTTCTGATCCAGCTCTCTGTTACGGCCTGGGAAAGCAGCAGAATGATGGCTCAAGTGCTCGGGCTCATGCACCTGTGTGGGGACCCAGAAGAAGCTTCTAGCTCCTGGCTCCTGGCTTTGGATCAGCCCAGCTCTGGCTGTTGCAGCCATCTGGGGAGTGAATCATCAGATGGAAGACCTTTGTCTCTCCCTCTCACTATCTATAACTATCTCTCAAATAAATAAAATATTTAAAAAGAAAAACAAAACAAAACCAGTCATCCACATTGTTGCCATGCCCCTTCCCACAAAGCACAGTTCAACAATAAGAATACAAAGTATAGACAACATGGACAAAAAAAATCAACCAGCACTAATCCCAATTTTCCTTCAACTAACTCAGACAGTATCGACGTTACTATCAAAACATCAATCCAATTTTTAAAGGGTCATGAAAAAGGAAAAAGCAGAGGAAGAAAGATCATGGATCAAATACACACCAGAGATCTACACAATTATCAAACCAGGAGAACCCATGACTTTCCTAGAAGTCAGGTCACTCCTTTACCTGCTTCAATGCAAAGAGATCTGAGCACAGCTACATTTCCCAAAAAAACAACTTGAACATTTGATTGATTTCTTCATTCATTACAGATCATTTAGTATGGCAGAATACTTATTCTAGATGCAATACAAGCAATTTGGAAATATGCTGTTAGAAGAGACAAAGCTCCCACCAACATTATAACATAAAACAACCAAAAGTATAGAAGATGGTTTTTAATGGCATCCCTCAAAGCAACTGACTTTCTACCTTGTCTGGCACTTTGAAACAGATACAGAAAAAGACATCAGCAGGCAAAACATCAGTGTAATTCACCAACTGTTCTTAGTTGGAACACTCTGGGGTACAATAAGCTATACGTACCATAAGTCTTGAAAAGTTGAGGCTGTTTGAGAGGTAATTCAATCATTTCTCTAATTGCTTTCAGCTGACTATTTAAGCCACCTATCATGTCATAAGTAACTTTCAATGAGTCATCTTGCTCTTTTGCATTTGTACGAATCTTTGTAAAATTTATTTTTGTTGTTGAAGAAATAAAATAAAAAGTATCAGTATTGCACTTTGCTCCCATGCAGATGGATTTTAGCAGTTTCTCCTCACTGTTAAATTGCTCACTGCCTTCTCTGGCAGACTCAGAACCACATTTAAGACCTGTGACTTCCTTGAGTTCAAGTCCACTGCCATCCCCAGGGCTCTGTGTAACACCCAACAAAACATCACCGGCTTTTGTTATACTTCTGTCATCTCCTGGTTTACAAGGAGTACTTCGTGATGTTGGGCTTCGGGGTTCTTCAAGATCTAACTGGCTTAGCCGGAAGGATAGATCCAGGCTACTGGTTTCTGTGCTGGACTGTTCTGAGGCCAATCCCTGGGTACCAGTCTCGGAGTCACTCTGAGGTTTTCCCAGGATCATGCCATCTGCCCCTTTCACTCGCAACACTTGAAGTTTGCACAGTCTTCCATAGAAGGTACAATACAAAAAGTTGCCTGGTAAAACAATCTTGCCATCTAGAAAACAATTTATTAAATACACATGTTAGAACATTTTTTTTTTACCATTTTAATGTTTAAACAGCAATTTATTTGCTATTAACAAAAAGATCCAACTGAAAACGCTCAATCAAAGGTAGGTTATAAATAAATGATTTGTATGGGGTCAGCGCTATGATGCAGTGAGTTAAGCCATAATCTGCAGTGCCGGGATCTCATATGGGTGCACATTCAAATCCTGGCTGCTCCATTTCCAATCCAGCTCCCTGCTAATGTGCCTGGGAAAGCTGCAGAGGATGGCCCAAGTTATTGGGCCCCTGCACCCACATGGGAGACCTGGAAGAAGCTCCTGACTCCTGACTTTTGCCTGGCCTAGCCCTAGCTGTTGCAGCCATTTCAGGAGTGAACTAGTGGATGGACGATCTCTCTGTCTCTCATCTCTCTCTGTAACTCTTTTTTTTTTTTTTTTGGACAGGCAGAGTGGACAGTGAGAGAGAGAGACAGAGAGAAAGGTCTTCCTTTGCCGTTGGTTCACCCTCCAATGGCCGCCGCAGCCGGCGCACTGCGCTGATCCGAAGGCAGGAGCCAGGTGCTTCTCCTGGTCTCCCATGCAGGTGCAGGGCCCAAGCACTTGGGCCATACTCCACTGCACTCCCGGGCCACAGCAGAGAGCTGGCCTGGAAGAGGGGCAACCAGGACAGAATCCGGCGCCCCGACCGGGACTAGAACCCGGTGTGCTGGCGCCGCAAGGCAGAGGATTAGCCTAGTGAGCCATGGCGCTGGCCCTGTAACTCTTTCAAATAAATAAATAAATCTTTAAAAAAATTAATAAACAACTTGAATGGAAAATGGGACCTTTTATTGCCCCATAATATACACTATCTGGAGTGAGAAGGACAAGATGATTCACTGAAATCCTCTACATGCAAAAAAGCTAAGATTCTATAAAACAGAACAAATAGCCAGGAGTTGACACACCTAAACCAACACTCCAAATAATGTTTCTCATTGGAAAGAACAAATGTGCAGCGTTAGAAGTTCTCAGTTTGGGGGCTGGCACTGTGGTGTAGTAGGTTAAGCTTAGTCTGCGGCACCAGCATCCCATATGGGTGGCGGTTTTAGTCCCAGCTACCTCTCTTTTGATCCAGCTCTCTGCTATGGCCTAGGAAAGCAGTAGAAGATGGACCAAGAGTTTGAGCCCCTGCACCCATGTGGGAGACCCAGAGGAAGCTCCTGGCTCCTGGATTCAGATGGGCTCAGCTCCAGCTATTGCAACCTTTTGGGGAGTAACCAGTGGATGGATGGCCTCTCTCTCTGTAGTTCTGTCTCTCAAATAAATAAATAAAATCTTAGAAAAAAAAAAAGTTCTCAGTGTTACTACTGTGCCTACAGACATGTCACATACATGTATGCTCAACTGCCAATCAATTAAGAAGAAAAATGACACATGTCTGCCTTAAAAGGATGGTAATTCATTGAGGGGAATATTCTCTAAGCTATTCTGAAGACCTGAAAGACACTTCACTGCTATCCTACCGCTTAAAACTTCAAACAATTTAAAATATTTGTCTCACCTAGTTTTCTCAGAATACATCCTGTCAGCTCTTGCTCATTAATTTCCATATCTTTGTCACTGTAGAATGGAGGGAGAGATAAAAATCAGCAGTAGGTATACCAGCAACTAAACTCGGGTACAAATGACATGTACATAGCTATCATATAACTAAACAAAAGAATAATAGGTTTGTAACCTGAAAATTAACAACTTACACAATTTAGGAATGATTTATACTTTTCAGATACTTCTTATACCCAGGAAAACTAACATTTGTAATTTGGTGCCCTTAGGACCTAAATCAGTGTTCATCAAAATACTATCTTTTGTTTTTGTTTTTTAATTTATTTTTTATTTAGTAAATATAAAATTTCCAAAGTACAGTTAATGGATTACAATGGCTTCCCCCCCATAATTTCTTTTTTTTTTTTTCAAAATACTATCTTATAGTGGATCATCCAGCACTTTTGTACTAGAATAACAATTATCAGGGTACACTGAATATAGAAAAGGGTAGATATTGCAAAATATTCATTTCTTACACAACATGTACATATACAAGTTGCATACACCTCTATGAACATGTATACAGCTATACATACATGTACACATGTGCAATATATCTGTGGGTGTGTGTATACAACAAATCATGGTGAAAACTCTTTTTTAATTGTATATCACAGCCAAAAACACACACCAAAACTAACCATCCTATTTCCAAATTTTTCTAGCTTGGAGAAAGGCTTTTATTCATAGCTTACTTCATTCCTTTTGTATAATCTATAAATTATCTCTTGAAGATAAATCCATGAGGACAGCATTGTGGTGTAGTGGGTGGAGCTACCACCTGTTATGCCAGCATCCTATATGCGCACCTGTTCAGGTAGCAGCTTTTCCACTTTGGATCCAGCTCCCTGCTAATGGCTTGGAAAAAGCAGCAGAGGATAGACAGGTGTTTAGGCCCCCTGCCATACACGTGGAGACGAGATGAAGCTCCTGGTTTCAACCTGACCCCGCCCCAGCCACTGCAGCCATCTGGGGAGTGAACCATCAGATGGAAGATTTCTATCTTTCCCTCTCTTTCTGGAACTCTGACTTTCAACTAAATAAATCTTTAAAAAAAAAAAAAAGAAAGAAAGAAAGAAAAGAGATTTAATCCTATATTGTATTAACCTGAAGAGGCAGAAGTATGGCAAAATAGAAAAGTAGGTGAAGTATACATATTATTTTGGAGAAAGGGAAGGTATATGCCTGAGAAAACAAGGAAGACAACCTTCTCTCTGATGACAATGGTATCTTCCAGGAGAGTCGTTTACTCAAGGACGGGAAGTAGGCAGATCTCAATGTAACTGCACTTGTAAAGAAACCTGCCCCTAAAAAATTCTTAGAACATTAGCACGTTTCCTTCTCCTCTTCCATATGTAAGCAGCCTGCACCAGCAGAGGAGGTCAACAGTTGTCCATCGTCTCCACATCCAACGGTGAGAGGGAGGGGAGAAGACAGTATATAACCCAGGCAAGGTTTTCTAAGAAAGCTCATCTTGGAGACTAGTGTTGTGGTACAGTGAGTTAAGTGCTGGCTGGCATCCCCGCTGCACCACTTCTGACCTAGTTTACCACTAATGCTCCTGGGAAAGCAGCATAAGATGGCCCAATTGCTAGGGCCCTTGTCACCCTTTCAGTGGAAGACCTGAATGAAATTCCTCATTCCTGGCTTTGCTTGGCCCAGTCTCAGCTGTTGCAGCCACCAGGGGAGTGAACCAGTGGATGGAAAATCTCTGTCTCTCCCTCCTCTGTAACTCTGCCTTGCAAATAAATTTATTCAAAAAAAAAAAACCTCATCTGGTCAAAATCTAAATCTTGTCCTCCAACCATTTTATCAATAATACAACTTGTCCTCATTACCTGTGGATACTCTATTTGAAAATTTACTTTCTCATTAAAATTTAATTGTGCTCCAAAATCAATATTCAAGGAGCATTTGCAGTTAATAATGGACATGGCAATGTGGTAAAAAAAATTTGAGTCACGTAACACCCACATTCCAGGGTAAAGTAGAGAAAGGGACCCTCTGCTTTCTTATTTCAATTCTTGTTCGGAGATGACCAGAACATGGAAATAGGAACAGGCTGTGTAAAGCAGTACAAAAAGCTCCAGGATCAGAGAGTTTGAATTCCAAGGCTGATGCCTGTAGTGCAATAGCCTCAGGGAAGTTCCTTATCCCTTATCCCTTCTGACTCTCCTCTTCACTTCTGTAAACTAAACAGAATCTACCAGAATAAAGAGATTTAAGGATTTAATATTATAATTTATGTAAGATATGTGTGTGCGTATGAGCAATAATTCAGTATTTGCTTATAGTGCTCAAGGTATTTGAATAGGACATAACTACCACACACACACAAAAGAGAATCAACTACATATTCATATAAAAGAGAAAGAAATAGAACAAAGAGGAAATTCCATGAATCAAACACGTAACTAATGAAAAAACTGAACAAGAATACTTCAAATAGCTCATGGAATTAAAAGGTAAGTTCATCTTGGTGTAAAAAATGCTTGCAATCCATCCATGTCTCCTTAAATGTTCAAATTTACTTCTGTGGCAGGTACTTGGCCTAGTGATTAAGATACCACTTGGGATAACTGCATCACATATTAGAGTGCCTGGCTCTGAGTCCCATTTCTGCTCCCAATTCCAGCTTCGTGCTAATGCACACATTTGGAGGCAATAATGACTCAAGTAACTGGGCTTCTGCCACCCATGTGGGAGACCTGGACTGAGTTCTTGGCTCCTCACTCCAGCTTGGCTCAGCTCTAGGTGTTGCAAAGCATCTGGAGTGTAAACCAGTGTATGGGAGCTCATTCTGTCTGCTCTGTTTCTCAAATACTTTTTTAATAACTTACTTCTATTTATAGAAATCTGAAACAAGTTACAATGAAATTGTTTTTAATTTACTAAACTAAAAAGGAGATATTTATAAAGTTATGTATAAATAGTAAAAATATATAACTAGTTTTGCTCTTAAAAATTGGGTGCACATAAAATCATTTCCACTAGAAGGAGCTCTAACATTACTAATAAATTTCTTCAGCATCAACTAAAGGATTTAATAAAAGTACTGATTTTTCCTAAATGGAAATTGACTTGTCTACACACCGCTGCCGTATTTAAAACATTTTTAAAATAAAATGTTAAAAAACAAGTTTCAGTTCAAAACATATAGGGTCCTCTGTACCAGCCAATCTTTATTCACCTAAGATTGCCAGTGCCCTCAAAAGGTCAGACCAGTTCCTAGATCATTATCAATATTAATTCCAGTTAACTGATTACTGCAGCCTAGAGCGCTGTTTTAAGACACAGTTGGAGGATTAAGATGGTTTAATCTGAGAAGTATTTTCTAACTATCTCATAAAATATTGGGCAGCCTACCATACCTTGCAGGGTGTTGGATGATTAAACAGAGGGAAAAGGATAAATGTGCAAGCGATCAAATGCAAATATTGCATGTGTTAATATACACCAAGCATCTGGTACACAGGTGGTTTTTAGCATTATGTTGTATTTCTGCTTTTTAATTTTTCATTAAGCTCATTATATGCTCTGAAAACATTTTTCTGCTTTTTAACCAAAAAATAACACCTAAACTCAACGTTGGAACTTAAAAAAGTAACAAAACATTTCAAATTGAAGATAAAGACCCTAGAAAAACGTTTTGTGATTCTGGTATATAACAAACACATTCCCAAAAATTATTACTAAGTTGATATTAAAGTATCAAAGGATGCTTTTTAAAATGAAATTTTGTAAGATCTGTATATACAATTCTTGACTTTCTTTCCAGGGAAATTATATTACTCAACTGTATTAATAGTTTATTAATCTATTATTATAATACTGTATTAATCAACTGTATTAATAGTTTGAATCTAACAATTTTGAATAATCAATGAGTTAATTATACAATCATGCTCTTTGCTTGAGCATCTTAATTAAAAGTTATTTCACCTCACAAGAATTTATTCCTTCCTTTACAACTGTAAGAAGTCTTGTTACATGGCAATTCAAGATTAAAAACACTGCCAAATGTTCATCAACAATAATTCCTCTAACTTAAAATGTCAAAGCATTCTATAATCATGATATGACAATCCCTAATACATAAATTCCACCACACTCATCTATCTCACTTGTGTCAAACACAGTAGGCCAATATCCTCTCACCACACATAGCTATCAAGTGCTTACTACGTGGCTAGTCTAAAATGACCTGTGACACAAGTCTAACATGCTGGATTTTAAAGACTCAGTTTGGAAAAAAGGATGTATGCTACCTTACTGATTTTTTTTTATAATTCTTACATGTTAAATTAAGATTTTACATATGTAGACAAGTATGTGGACATGTGTAGACATAGACAAATATATAGACATGTAGACAAAATATATAGGTTGACATATGTAGACAAATAAAATATGCAATTCTTTTCACCAGTTTCTTTTTACTGAATAATGTGGCTACTAGAAAATTGTGGAAAACTGTACGTGCAACATACATTCACAACTTCTGTTATATTTATTGTGAGCAGCACAGAAAATCATCAGAGAAAAGAGACAAACCTCAGTAACACGTCCATCTCCTCAGCTTGTAGCACGGCACCCAGCAGAGGCTGGGCTCGGATGGAATCACCAGCCCTCACTCCCATGTTCTTCTGTGCCATATCGCTAAGGCCAACCTTGCCTCCAGGAAACCCTGCCACAGGCCAGGCTGTATAGATCTGCCCAAACAGGAGAAAGGAAAACCTCAGGAAATAAATATATACAGTATTCCCTCAATTTACGAGGCAGAATGCTAAGCACAGCTAAATATACAGATCTTATGCAAGGCATGGTCCTTACAGTAAAGTTACAATAAGATAAACTGCATTTTTTAAAAAAGGATAAAATATTACAAGGGTTCACAAAAAATTATTTTAATAAACAGTACATCCTTTTGAGAAGATCAGGAATGATCTCACAGTGAAGATGATAGAAGATCTGAAAGGTGGATTTAGGAAAAAAGACACAACTACTAATAGGTGATAAGAAAACGAGGAAAAACTGAAGGTAACATAGTTGTAATCCTACTGAAACTTAAACTACATCCAGAAAGTAGTAAGACACACAACAAAAACACTTTATTAGAACCTGGATCTCATCAAATTTAAATGTTAAAGAGGAAGAGCAGGTTAATGGCACAGCAGGTTAAGCCACTACCTGTGACACAGGCATCTCATTTGGAGCAACTGCTCTGCTTCTGATCCAGCTACCTGCTAATGAGCCTGGAAAAGAAGTTAAAGATGGCCCAGGTGGTTGGGCCCCTGCTACTCACATGGGAGACCTGGAAGGAATTCCATTCTGGTTTCAGCCTAGCCCAGCCCTGGCCATTGTGGCCATTTAGCCAGGAGACAGAAGAACTCTCTCTCTCTCTCTGCCTGTCTCCTTTTCTCTCTGTAACTCTACTTTTCAAATAAATAAATCTTAAAAAAAAATTTTAAAAGAGAGCAAAGATTTCTGGCACAAGCTTACACATTTACTTTTTTTTTTTTTTTTTTTTTTTTGGCAGGCAGAGTGGACAGTGAGAGAGAGAGACAGAGAGAAAGGTCTTCCTTTTGCCGTTGGTTCACCCTCCAATGGCCACTGTAGCCGGCGTATCGTGCTGATCTGAAGCCAGGAGTCAGGTGCTTCTCCTGGTCTCCCATGCGGGTGCAGGGCCCAAGCACCTGGGCCATCCTCCACTGCACTCCCGGGCCATAGCAGAGAGCTGGCCTGGAAGAGGGGCAACCGGGACAGAATCCAGCGCCCCGACAGGGACTAGAACCTGGTGTGCCGGCGCCGCAAGGCAGATGATTAGCCTATTCAGCCACGGCGCCGGCCTACAGTCCTCTTTCAAAAAAAAAAAAATACAGTATGACATAAGCCTACAAAAATTAAAGGAAAGGGAGGGGTGGGCCATCAGCAGTCAAAAGATTTCAAAGCATTTCAAGACATCTCCAGAGGACCCCCAGTGGATCAGAAAAGCAAAAGAAGAAGCCATGTAGAAGCAGGCCCTGGTAGCAGAGAAGAAAGTCAAGGTGTTAAAAAGGAGGGGGGGACCAGGCAGTTAACCTAGCCATTAAGAATTTTGCTCCCCACATCCTGTATCAGAGTTCCCAAGTTCAGGACGCACAGCTCCAGCTGCAGAGTCCAGCTTTCTGCCACTGCAGAGGCTAGGAGGCAGCTATGATGGCTCAACTAGGTCCCTGCTACCTCCATGGGATACCTGGTTGAGTCCCAGGCCTGCTCCAGTCCAGGTGTCAGTGCAGTCATCTGGGGAATGAACCAGCAGATGAAAGCGCTCTCACTCTAACAAACCAATAAATTTTCAAAAAATGATCTAGGAGCAGCATTGTGGCACAGTGGCTAAGCCACTGCTTGTAACGCTGGCATCCTGTACTAGAGTGCTGCCATGAGTTCCAGCTGTTCCACTTCCAATCCAGTTTCCTGCTAATGTGCTTGGGAAGACAGCAGGAGATGGCCCAAGCAGCTGGACCTCTGCCACCTCTGTAAGAGATCAGGATAGAACTTTTTTTTTTTTTTTTTTGACAGGCAGAGTGGACAGTGAGAGAGAGACAGAGAAAAAGGTCTTCCTTTTCACCGTTGGTTCACCCTCCAATGGCCGCTGCAGCCGGCGCACCGCGCTGATCCAAAGCCAGGAGCCAGGTGCTTCTCCTGGTTTCCCATGCGGGTGCAGGGCCCAAGTACTTGGGCCATCCTCCACTACACTCCCGGGCCATAGCAGAGAGCTGGCCTGAAAGAGGGGCAACCAGGACAGAACCCAGTGTGCCAGCGCCGCAAGGCGGAGGATTAGCCTATTGAGCTGTGGCGCCAGCCAGAACTCCTGTCTTCAGCCTGGCCCAGACCTGGTTGGTGTGGCCATCAGCAGGAAGTGAACCGGTGCATGGAAAATTTCTCTCTTCTTCTCCCTGACATTCTGCCTTTCAAATAAATCATTCTTAAAAGTTTTATATAATATATATGGTACATACAATTTCCATATTTCTATGTTTATATGTGTTTTTGTATATGATGCATACTCTGTGTGTGTGTGTGTGTGTGTGTAATGAACCAGGAAGGATTCTGGGCTTGAAGTCTCAAGTATGATAAGTGACAACAAAGAACAGATGAAAACAGGGAGAGTAATTAAGTATCTGCATGTAACACAGGTGACCTTCTTACCCCAAAATACCATTTCTGTAGAGAAATGGGGCCACTAATATATGTGCTGCTACGTCCTAAGGAGAGACCTTTCTCCATGTGGCATTTTGGAGGCTACTAATCCAGCACAGTCATGGATACCAAAAGAAAAGAGTTTACATACATGTGAATGTAATTTAAAATAGAGTATTTCATTTACTCCAGCTTGCAATGAAAACTAAAATCAGGAATATCATAGGGGGGCTGCCGATATGGCGTAGCGGGTAAAGCCACCACCTGCAGTGCCAGCAACCCATATGGGTGCCGGTTTGAGTCCCGGCTGCTCCAGAGTTCTGGCTACTCCACTTCTAATCCAGCTCTCTACCATGGCCTGGGAAAGCAGTAAAAGATGCTTGGGCTCGTGCACCAACGTGGGAAACCTGGAAGAAACTCCTGTCTCCTGGCTTCAGATCGGCACAGCTCCGGCCCTTGCAGCCAATTGGGGAGTGCACTGGCGGATGGAAAACCTCTCTCTCTGCCTCTCCTTCTCTCTGTGTAACTCTGACCTCCAAATAAATGACTAAATCTTAAAAAAAAAAAAAAAAAGAGGTCAGCGCTGCAGCTCACTTGCCAGCGCCCCGGGTTCTAGTCCTGGTTGGGGCGCCGGATTCTGTCCCGGTTGCTCCTCTTCCAGTCCAGCTCTCTGCTGTGGCCCAGGAAGGCAGTAGAGGATGGCCCAAGTGCTTAGGCCTTGCACCCGCATGGGAGACCAGGAGGAAGCACCCAGCTCCTGGCTTCGGACCAGTGCGGTGCGCCAGCCACAGCACGCCAGCCCTAGCGGCCATTTGGGGGTGAACCAACAGAAAAAGGAAGACCTTTCTCTGTCTCTCTCTCTCTCTCACTGTCTAACTCTGCCTGTGCAAAAATAAAAAATTAAAAAAAAAAGAAATATCACAATATCTCTAAACAAAGGAAATGAAAAGGACTCTTACCTCTTGCTTTCCATCCAAACTGGTAAGCAACACCGGCCGACCTATACATATGTTTGTAGACTTCATAGTGTTGAGTCCAAGATGAATAAGGGAATTTTGGAATGTTTTAGGGACTTTGCCATCCACTATGAAAAAAGAGAAATTATTTTTATAGAGTTTTGTAACTGAAGTTAAAGCATGCTTTATTTTTGGAGTGAACAAAAATCCTCAATCCGTATAACCATGTGAATGCACTTATCATAAGGAGAAACCACTGCTCCAACCCTAATTATAACAAACAGATTTAAAGGGTGCTGTTGTGGTGCTGCTCTGCTTCTGGTGCAGAAAGATGGTCCAAGTACTTGGGTCCTTCTAGCCAAATGGGATGGAGTTCCAGGCATGGCCCAGCCCCAACCACCGTGGCCATTTAGGAGTGAACCAGCGATGAGAGATCTGTGTGTGTGTGTGTGTGTAACTCTGCCTTTCAAATGAATCTTTGAAAGAAAAAAATTAGATTTAAAATCAAGCCATTTTGAGGGCTACTGACAATGTATAAGTGTTAGCTAAAAAGAGGATATCTCTAATTTTATTAAGAATTAAATACTTGCAACATTCCCTGAGCTTTTTGTATTTCAAGTTCTTTTTTATTTATTTATTTATTTTATTCTTTGACAGGCAGAGTGGACAGTGAGAGAGACAGAGAGAAAGGTCTTCCTTTTGCCGTTGGTTCACCCTCCAATGGCCGCCGCGGCCTGCGTGCTGTGGCCGGCGCACCCCATTGATCCGATGGCAGGAGCCTGGAACTTACCCTGGTCTGCCATGGGGTGCAGGGCCCAAGCACTTGGGCCATCCTCCACTGTACTCCCGGGCCACAGTAGAGAGCTGGCCTGGAAGAGGGGCAACCGGGACAGAATCCGGCGCCCTGACCGGGACTAGAACCCGGTGTGCCGGCGCCGCTAGGTGGAGGATTAGCCTATTGAGCCACGGCAGCGGCCCTTGTATTTCAAGTTCTAAGTTGAATTAGCTAGCAGCACTCAAAAGCTTCAACTGGGAACTGGCACATCTAACTGGCTATAAAGGATTAAAGTATATTTCTACTTCTGACACAGAGAATAATCAGATCCTTTTCTATTACTAATACACTGATAGGATAATAACACAAGTCTTATTCTTCAGACGAATACACTTAAACTCCCTGAAAGTACCATTGGTGATTCTAACTTTTGGCAAATGAGGCCCTGAATTCATTCCAGACGGGGACACCTCTGAAAATGGTATGTTAACATCTCTATCCCTTCCTACCTCACCCGCTCAATAAGCTCTATCTTTGCTTAGTTGTCTATCCTTTGCTTCTCACAGTAACCTGTGCTGCAAGATACTAGAATTTATCATCATAGTATTCATCTGTTTTACGGACTTTTTCTAAACCACACCCTGCTTTCGGGACAGAACTGGGTCAATTTGTAATTCCAATTACAAATTGCCTAAGAGCACATCAAATATAGCAATTGCACAATAACTATCCATGAAATGAATGAATATAGATGAGTATACAATATTTTCCTTGTCAGCACAAAATCCAAACACATATTGAATTTTAATCAATACATTTTGTGATAAAATTTATTATTGACACAAATATGATAATCATAGAATTCTACCTAATATTAGTGTTAATAATCAGAAAATCCTTTGCAATGAGAAACTAACAATCAATGAAAGCAAAATCAGGAAACATATCTGAAGGGCAGGCACTGTGGCATAGCGGGTAAAGCCACCACCAGCAGTGCCAGCATCCCATCTGGGCACCGGTTCAAGTCCCAGCTGCTCCACTTCAAATCCAGCTCTCTGCTATGACTTGGGAAACCAGTAGATGGACCAAGTGCTTGGGCTCCAGCACCAACATGGGAGACCCAGAAGTTCCTGGCTTCAATCGGCTCAGCTCCAACCATTGCAGCCATTTGGGGAGTGAACCAGCCAACGGAGGATCTCTCTCTCTGCCTCTCTGTAACTTTGTCTTCCAAATAAATAAATAAAACTTAAAAAAAAAAAAAAAAAGCATTTACATTGTTATTTAGTACTACAAAATAACTCTCCAACACTTACTTTCCTTGAGTCAAGAGAAGAGCAAATCTACAAAAACAAAACATCCTACGAGCTAAGATGAGCAGTCTTGAGAATAAAACAAAACAAGCATAGTGTATGATAAGAGAAGCTGAACAGAAATTCAACCTTCCTCTGAGCATGAGGTCTCTTACACAATTTGCTGATCAATGACAGCAAAGAATTCCACTGTTGCATGACCTCATCTTTAGTTCCTGCTACCTCTTTCTTCTTAAACCTCAGGGAATCACCCTTCTCTCTTGACAATTACCTCAGAGGTATACTCAATTCTTTTCAGGGTTCTGTGTTTTCTCCTTCTCCCTCCATCCTGGGCTGCACAGTCACCATGTCCCAGGATTTAACAAATCACAGGTAGCCCTAAACAATTCCACACTATCAATGGAGATAGCATTTGAATCCCCATCCACTGGTCTCATCTCCCAGTACATCACCACTGTGTTCTCTGCTTATAGCATCCAAATACAAATCTATCCAAGCTATCCACACCACTTTCCTTCACCATTCCTCATTCCTCCAATACTTTAAAAATTATCTTAATATCCACTTCCCCTATTAACTACCTTCACATTTATGGATCACTTGCAGTGTCAGATTAACTGACAAGATAGTAAAGATAATTCCAAACAATTACGCATTGTTCATTTATTCATTCAGCAAATACATATTACGCACCTACTATATGGCAGACACAACACCTGGCTTTTGTTCAGTCCTTGATCTACAGAGTGTATAATCTAGTAGGATAAGAGACTTATTAAGCAATCACTGAAGAACTGTATAATTATAAACTAAGATTAATACAATGAAAGAATGGCTGAGAATGCTGGGGCCAGCGCCGTGGCTCATTTGGTTAATCCTCCGCCTGCGGCACCAGTATCCCATATGGGCATCGGGTTCTAGTCCCAGTTGCTCCTCTTCCAGCCCAGCTCTCTGCTGTGGCCCGGGAGGGCAGTGGAGGATGGCCCAAGTGCTTGGGCCCTTGCACCTATGTGGGAGACCCGGAAGAAACTCCTGGTTCCTGGCTTCGGATCGGCATAGCTCTGGCCGTGGCAGCCATTTGGGGGGTGAACCAATGGAAGGAAGACCTTTCTCTCTGTCCCTCTCCCTCACTGTCTAACTCTATCTGTCAAATAAAATAATAATAATAATAATAAAAAGAATGGCTGAGAATGCTAACAGCGCCTATGAGGCGGGATCTTGCCAAATCTGGAAGAATCAAAGAGCACTTCTCAAAGGCAGCTGCAGGAAGACTAGGAAACAACTCAATGAAGAGAAGAAAAAGGCAGCTGCTGCAAGCTCAGAAGGGAAAACAGAGAGGTGAGAGACAAGGGGCGCCACCTAAAGAAGGACAAGACCCAGGCAGGCAACAGGTAGGGTCCAGCGAAAACAGAATAAAAGAAGAAAATGCAGAAAAATCTAAAAAAAAAAAAAACACCTAAAGTTGCTTGCTTTATTTACTTAAAAATGCCAGGTTGTTTTACCTGCTTGAAAATGCCAGTTTACGAAGGACCCAGCTCAAAGGCTGCCTGTCTGCTTGCATGAGACAGCAAAAAGTCCAAACTCAAAATGCCCAAACCCAGGGAGGTAACAACAGGAGTTAACTTTGTAAAACTCACGTTGACAAGGACATTGCGTGAGGGGTCTATTAACGGATGACCATGGGCCAAAAGACCCCGATGGGAGACTCCCCAGCAATACCTATGGGAATAGCCCAACAGTATCTCTCCAGCAGGACACTTGGTCTGAGTCCCCAGTGAAAACTCTCTGCCCAGGACATCTGGAGAAAGTCTCCCTGGCAATGCCCCCCTCACCTCTCTAAAAATCGGCCTATAAACTCACAGACCAAAACACCACTAGGCCCTGAGAGACTAAGCTGAGTTCTTAGGAGAGGACTGCTCCCACTTGCCATGTGGAGTGTACCCTGGTTACTATGATAAATCTTTACTACCCACTATCTGTCTGTGTAAGCCTCCTTCAATTCACTTAGGGCAGTGGTCTGTATCAATATAGTGGCAATTACTCTGAGAGCAACCAGCACCCAGTAAGGGATGAAAAACAGGGTCATGTTTAGTTTAGTTTGAGAAGCAGAGAGAGAGCTCAACCATTTGTGGATTCACTGCACAAATGCTAACAATTGCTGGAGCTGGGCCATGCCTGATGCAGGGAACACCCTCCAAATCTCCCATGTGGGTGGGCAGGAATCCAGCCATTTGAGCCAGGACCTGCTGCCTTCCACAGCACACATTAGCAGAAAGGTAGAATCAGAAGGAAAGCTTGGAATTGAGCCCAGGCACTCTGATACACGGGTGCAGGTGTCCCACCCGGCATCTTAGCCACTAGACTAAATGGCAACTCCAGGATCTTTACTTTAAAAGTTCATTCTGGCTGTAGAATGAATGGAAGAGAACAAAAGCCAAAGCAGAATTCAGCTAAAGGGCTATTGCAGCAGTCCAAGTGAGATGGTATCTTAGATTACAATAGAAGCAGAGGGAATCGTGTAAAGAAAAGCATGTGGCTGCTTCTCCAAGAAAACACCAAATGGCGGATGACAGTGCAGCAGGGCACAGAGGCCCTGTAATGCAAGGCCACCACTACTTCCACAGAAGCTTCTGCAACAGCACCCAGAGCTGAGCCTACACCATGGAGTTCACAGATGCAAGGCCATGGACAAGAGTGGCTCCCTGTCACCAAGCTGGGCTGCCTGGTCAAGGAGCTGAAGATCACGTCCCTGGAGGAAATCTCTGTTCTCTCTGCCCATCAAGAAGTCTAAGATCATTGACTTTTTCTTGGGTATGTCCCTCAAGGTTGAGGTTGTTAAGATTAAGCCAAGACAGGCTGGCCCAGGTTCAAGGCATTTGTTAATACTACAGACTATAATGATCAAGTCAGCCTGGATGTGAAGTGCTTAGGGATGTAGCCACTGCCACCTGAGGGACCATCATCCTGGCCAAGCTCTCCACTGTGCCCGAGCTGAGAGGCTACAGGGGGAACAAGATCAGCAACCCTTACAAGGTCACCAGACACGGTGCTCTGTGCTGGTCCACCTCATCCCCACTTCCACAGTTACTGGCATTGCCTCGGTTGCTGTCCCCAAGAAGCTGCTGCTGATGGATGACACTGAGGACTGCTCCACCTCAGCCAGGTGCTGCACTGCCACCCTGGGCAACTTTGCCAAGGCTACTTTTGATGCCAACCCCAAGACCTACAACTATCTGACCCTTACATCTGGAAAGAGACTGTGATCACCAAGTGTCCCTATCAGGAATTCACTATCTGTAAAGACCTTGTGCAAAGGACCCGGGCTCCAACTGTGACTACAACATGGGTTTTTACACAAGAAAAATAAAGCGAATTAAGCCTGTTTAAAAAGACAAACATGGAAAACATTTAGGGAATGTTTAAGTGATAATAACGAGGATGTAGTGATGGAGTGGAGATGTGAGATATGACAGCAAGCAGTGCCACAATGATTCCCAGGTTTCTGAATTCTGCAATAGCAAATGTTGAACAGTGATTAAGTTTTCTATTTTGGAAGACATAAAAAGCTCATGAACTCAGTCCCAAGGTACCTCTGAGAAATCACAGAAGTACTCTACCATGCTATTCAAAACGTGGGTCCACAGAAACCAGGGAGAGCAGCAGAAGATGGCCCAAGTACTTGGGCCCCTGCATCCAAGTGGGAGATTTGGAAGAAGCTCCTGGCTCCTAACCAGACAAGCCCCTCTTCCCTGTGGCCATATGGGAACAAACCAGCAGATGGAAGATCTCTCTCCCTTCTCTAGCTCTCCTCCTCCTCTCTCTCTGTAACTCTACCTTTCAAATAAATAAATCTTAAAAAAAAAAAAAAGTGATCCACAAACTAGTTGTTAATGGCTCATAACAAAATACAGAATATTAGAATAAATGTTTAGAAGCTTTCATTGCAATTTGACAGAGTAATCTTATATCTACTGAATCCAACACAAACTTTTATTTTGCTTTTTAGCTTATTTTTCCAGTAATCCATTTTCACTGTATTTAGCAAACGTGCAATCTGTGATTTATAGTAAAGCTTAAAACCTTCACCACAGAGAATTTAAGAAGCTGGGTCTAAAAGATAACTGAACCGAGACTGAGAAACAGTAATGGAGGTCAAATAAAAATCTGACACTGAAGAAGACACAGATGGGAAAATCTTGGCATTGGCTGAACTTGCCAAAGGGAGAAGACAGAGAGAAAGGATATGGGTTTAGAACTAAGAATTGAGAAAGGTCAACATTTAATAGTCAGGTGGAAGAGGATGAGCCTGCAAAGTTAGCTGAAAAGTACAACGAAGGAGGAGGAAAACTAGGGCAGTCTGCTGACAGCTGAGACAAGAAGGAAACTGCTGCCGCCTAAGGCTGCCGAGGTCAAAGCAATGAAAAACCATCCACACCGGCATATCATTAGATGATCCAGGATCGCAGCAAGGGGTGCCCATGGAATGATGGAGAGGCACAGAGGAACAGTTTGTTAAAGTATATGAGTGAAGAGCAGGCAGAGACCATTTAAAAAGTCTGACCTCCCCCGCCCAAAAAAGGCAGCGAGGCGGGTGGAGGTGGTAGTGAGATGGGGGTGAAAAAAGTCAGCTTTTAAGATGGAAGATTTAAATGTTAATGGGCGAGGGCTCAAGCACTTGGGTCTCTACCACCCACTTGGAAGACCCGGTTGAAGCTCCCACGCAGCTCCTGGCTTGTGCCTGATCCAGCCCTGGCTGCTGTCGACATTTGAGCCTTTCTCTCTGCCTTTCAAGTAAAATGAAAACCCATAAGTAAAAAATTTACAAGGATATACTCATTAACCTTAAACGAAACAAACTTGTTTCAAGCGTAACTTACAAAAATTCAAACCGGGGGCGGGCGTTCGCCCCAGCGGTGAAGAGGCAGGCTAACAGCCGGCTCCTCACTCCGCCTTCTGCTAACGCGGACCCCGGGAGGCAGCGCTCCTGGCTCGCAGCACTGGCTTCCTGCCACGCACGTGGGAGACCCCGCTGCAGCCCTGGCTCCTGGCTTCAGCTCGCCGCGAACCGACTTCGCGCGTGCTCGCTCAGGCGCTCGCTCTCCCGCGCTCTTAACTAAATAAACTCAGGCTTTTGGGGGAAAACTCCAATGACTTCGGCACGGATAACCGCGAGTGCCTGACTTCTCTAGCGCCAAGTGGGACTCCACTGAAAATACTCCTTCTTTCAGTGTCGCTCTCACATCCACACCACGCCCAACGCCCTAAACCCCTGCACCTCACAGCTGCGTCGCTGGCCATTCCTCCCCTCACACGCGCTTCCTCGACCTCAGTCCTCGCTCCCACAACTCTTTACCCTTTTCTAGGAAGTTGGTCACCGCCAGTAATCCGGCCGCCACCGCGAGGTCCGACTCAGGGGAAGCAGCCCCGGCTCCTGCGCGAACGGAGGACAAAGGCGAACCATTGTCCGCGCTTTGGTTCAGCCGCTTTCTATTCTTTTTGGAAGACATGATCAGAAACCAGCAAAGGCAGCCAGAGCAAAAGCACCGCAAACCCGGCACAACGTGCACGGGCCACTGAGAGAAAAACTTCCGGAGCGGAGGTCAGCGAGGCTCCGCCCCTGCGCCGTATTCCCCTATGTGTGTGCAAGATGGGGGCCAGGAACAGGGCGGGCAGGACCGGCGGGCACCGAACCCGCGATGTTTGAAGCGGTCCTCTGGGTCCTGACTTCCGCCCAGGAAGGAGGGTTTGGCGTGTGGCGCCGTCATTTACGTTGTGAATTCCAGACGAGACTTTCTTGTATCCCCGCCCGCCTTCACGATCCCTAAACAAACGACTATTGGCTTAAATTAGCAAAGTAAGTGGGTGAGAAGGATTCTCGCGGCTTCCCTGGGGCCAAGCAAATTCCTGGGAGGGGCTGGTGGACCTGTCCCCCAGTATAGTTATCTCTGAAAAGCAGTAACTCGGTTCACATCTGAGCGGGTTTGGGAGGCGCTCTTCTAAAATTTACGGTACGGAGCTCCACTCGGAACGCTGGAAGGTGATTTGGCCACTGCGCGCGAGGGCCTGCGAGGCGAGGGCGATGGTGCTGCCGCGCGGGGGTTCGTGGCGCGCGGTGCTCGCCCGGGCCTGCTGGCCCAGGCTGTGGACGCGGCCCCGTGGAGTCTCGGGCGGGCCGGGCTGCGCAGCGGGTTCTCCTGCCGGAGCGTACGAGCTGCGAGGCGAGCTGGACAGGTTCGGGGGCGTCTCGGTGCGCCTGGCGCAGCTCGGCGCGCTGGACCGCCTGGACGCCGCCGCCTTCCACAGGGGCTTACAGGGCAAGTGCACCTGGGGCGAGGAGTTCCCGGAGCTGCCCTCCCGACGCCCTGCCCCCCACCCTCAGTCTCCCTCCACGCGGCTCCAGTGCGAAGCCGAGAGGGCTAAGGAAAGCGCTTGCGTTACCCGTGCCCATTTTGTTCGTTTTCGTCTTGGGCCCTGGGCTGAGAGGACTCTGGAGGCTTGGGGTGAAATGGTGAAGAGCCCCGAGTTTGACGTAGGCAGCCCCGGATTCTAGCCCAGCTTTTAGGGTGTGACTTTGGAAAAGTTCTGTAAGCCACCGTTTCCTCATCCCGAAGCCCGGGTAATAGGTTAAGGGAGATAATAGAAAGTGCCTGACAAGGTGTCTGCCGTGTATTTAACGCTCAATAGGCTCAGCAGATGTTTGTTAACAGTCTCTCCTTATTACGATTTACCGAGCCTGCGTTCTGCCCAGCACAGAAAACTATCGCATCCAGTATAGGTGGTGGTCAGTGCGTGGACCACAGAGATCCTGATGGTCGCATCAGATTGGATCAGGAGCTGTCGGGGCTAGAGCTGGAATTTGCTTCCACTCAAAGGTCCACAAGTCTTATGATTAACCAGGGAGGGTGGTGAATGGTTTCAGTCGTCCAGAGGAGCCTTTGGGGAAAATCCTTAATATGTGGAGTTGCCTGTTTTTCAAACCGCCCCTGCGGATTTTATTATCTAATTCAAGGTACAGCATGGAAATTCAGCTATGGAAAGGTCCCATCACATTAACAGGAAAGTTCAAATAATATTTATACTATTGAGCAATATGGCAAGTAGGCAGCCTTGTGAATATAATCAAAATTATTTCATCGTTTAATCATCCTGATACCTACACTACTTGCTGTCCTGTTTAGGAATAATTTCTGACAAGCCCCAACAGTGTCACCAGTAGGAGAATCAAATCAGTTCATCCTCTGATTTGTGTCCATATGTGTGGGTAGACCTAGGTATTTGTGGCAGACTGATGGCCAAACGGATGATCAAAGTACAAGCCTTAGTGGGCATGGCAAAGCAGATGGCATGTTGGTTTTTGAAGGGACGCATCCAAGTCAAGTCCTGGGTTCTGTCACATGCCTTGCCAGGCATTAGTCAAATCAAATGCTGAAAATACTTGCCTCATAGGTTGCTTATGTGAATAATGTTAATCCTAATTAGTAAACCAATGTGATCAAAGAGGTTATGTGAAACTTACTGAGAAACATACATGTTTTTCAACAAGTAGCACGATAGTGCTGGACACTTTTAAAGACTTTACAGATATTCATTTAATTCTCATCATAACTCTGTGAGGTAGATACTGTAACTACTGGCATTTTAAACATAATGGCACTAGATACAGAAAATAAGTATCTTGCCCTGGCTTTAGATCTGTACCTGCTGCTTCTGAGAGCTACTGTTGGTTCTGTTGTCTTAGTCAAACAAAACTAATTTAAAGGTGGTGCTAGCAAAGAGAAACTAATCTGAGAGGAAAGCCTGATAGGAAGTCTTTCTCTGTTCTTTCCATGTATGTTGGATTGATGGTGTGTGATACGTTAGCAATGGTTGTTTCAAGTCTGCAACAGTGGGGCCATAGCCTTGATTCTGGTCTTTGCTACATTACTGATTATGTGACTTCAGGCATGTCAATCATTTAGTAAATATGAATGGGGGGCAGACATATGGCACAGCCGTTAAGATGGTGATTGGGACGCCCACATCCCATATCCGAGAGCCTAGATTTGAGTTCCAGCTCTGCTTCCAGTTCCAGCTTCCTGCTAATGTGTATCCTGGAGGTAGCAGATGATAGCTCGAGTGCTTGAGACCCTGCCACCCATGTGGAAGATACAGATGAGTTGTTCCTGGTTCCCGACTTCAGCCTGGCCCAGTCCTGGCTCTTCTAAACATATAGGAGTAAACCAGCACATCTCCATCTGACTCTCTCGCTCTCACTCTCCATGTCTCTCTCTGCCTTGCAAATAAAAATAAATGCAAATTAAGCCCCAGTTCATAATATCAGATTAACCTAGAGGATGGCAAATGCATACAGTGTTAAAAATAGGATAAGAAAAAATAGATAATGGAAGAGATTAAGTAATGTGTGGCACATTCTCATAAGTCATATATACATGGTAAGTAGTTCTTAAGTTGAGTGTAGTGTTATGGGTTTTTTTTATTTGTTTGTTTGTTTTTAGATTTATTTATTTGAAAGGTATAGTTACAGAGAGACAGGTCTTCTTCCACTGGATCACTCCCCTGATGGCAGCAACAGCTGGGGCTGGACAAGCTGAAACTAGGAGCTTCTGAAGGGTCTCCTATGTGCAGGGGCCCAAGCACTTGGATTGTCCTCCACTGCATTCCTAGGCGTATTAGCAGGGAGCTGGATCGGAAGTGGAGCAGCCAGGACTTAAACTGGCACCCATATAGGATGTTGCAGACGGAGCCTTAACCTGCTATGCCACATTACCAGCCCCTCGCTCCATGCAGTATATAAGCTGGATTTGAGCTGTGGTGATGAGAGGAAAAACCACTGGAGTTTATTTAAAAAAAAAAAAAAAGAAATTTAAAAGGTTTAAGCATTACTGCCACAAATAAAGAAATAATGAAGGTAATCTGGGGTATAAAATTATATGTTGAACTTGGAGAAATTTGAAGGAGCAACTTCTGGAGATGCCTGACAGCACATGGAAAGTGGCAAGTTTAGTGTTCAGTGAGGTCAGGACTGGGCAAGCATCCTCCTTTAGGTGGTAGCAGAAGCAATGGGAGTAGACGAAGCCCCCAGGGCAGAAGCAGCAAGCAGATAACTATGCTTTTGGAAACTTGTGCTTTATCATTTGATGGGAAGGATTGCCTGGAAAGGAAAACATGGGAATTCTGTGGGATGTCTCAATGACAACACCACCTAAGCTGGAACAGGCTGAACCTGATAACAGAACTTTCAAGTAGATGAAAACAATTTTTTTTAATTCATCAAATGCACACTTAAGATTTGTATATTTCACACTATGTAATTATACCTCAATTTAAAAAATTTAAACAACAAAATTAGAAGGCTCTGATCCTACAGGCCTTTTGCATGCTAAGTCAGATCACCAAGTCTTCATTAATGGCCTAAGCCTCTGTCCCTGTGCCACCTACAAGGACAAAGAGGCAGAAAACATGGTCCTTAGCTGGGAGAAGGAGCTTGCAGCACAGCTGAAGAAGAGAAAAGGGAGAGGAAGGTAATCACTGTAGAGATAATCAGGGCTCCCAAGACATAGCAGAGTTAGCAGAAAGTTTAAGTGATGATGAACAGAAAGTTGTCTGAAAAATCTAGAATCTAAAACTGCCAAGTATCCATTTCTTCCCCTAGAATTAAAGATGATGCCTGTCTTTCACAGTTGTGAGCACTTAAGATATTTCTGAAGCATCTAGAACTTAATAAGGTTCAAATAAATATTAGTGCCTTTTCCTCTGGTTCAATCTTTGTATTAAAACAGGATTTAAAGAATTCAGAAACAGAAAACGTTTCCTTATGTTCATCTTGGTAACATTTGTAATAAAGAAAAATTAGGAGCAGTTGTCCACAAATAGAAGGCTTGTTGTTTATGTTGTACCAACATGAGGAAAAGTGTGCAGTCATTTACTTATTTTTAAAGATTATTTATTTGAAAGAGTGACAGAGAGAAAGATCTTCCATCTGCTGGTTAACTCCTCAAATAACTGCAATAAATGGAATTCTTCCAGACTAAAGCCAGGAGCCTAGGACTCTATCTGGGTCTCATGTGGGTGGCAGGAGCCCAGCTACTTGGAACATCATCTACTGCCTTCACAGCCACACCTGCTGAATCTGTAGTGGAGCAGACTGGACTCAAACCAGGATTCGGGAATGGAATGCTGCCTTGCTGGCTAAAGCTAAACCACAAGGCCAGCCCAGTATGCAGTCATTTAAAATTCCTATTCATTGAAAGAATTTTAATGACACAGTGAAATGTTTTAAATATTTTTGTGAAAAAATATAAATTACATGTTATGATGTTAATTGCAAAATGCATGGGAAAATGCCAAATTTTTCAATTTAGTTCCTTCATGCATGCTAGTAAACTAAAGTTTGATTTCTTCATTATATTTTTCTTGATTTTCAAAATTTTTTAGAGCTAGCATACATTATTTAAAATCAATTAAACATATTTTTAACTACTTTTAAATGTATAAACCAAGATTGGCATTGTGATGTAGCAGGTAAAGCTGTCTTCCACGCCAGCATCCCATATGTGCACTGGTTCGTATACTGGCTGTTCCGCTTCCAATCCAGCTCCCTATTAATGGCCTGGGAAAAAGCAGGGGAAGATGGCCCCTAGTAATTTTTAGTGCCTGCCAACCAAGTGGAAAACCCGGATGAAATTGCTTGTCTTTAGGCTGGCCCAGTGCTGGCCATTGCAGCCTTCTAAGGAGTGAATCAGCACATGGAAGATCTCACTCTTCCTCTGTGCCTCCCTGTATCTCTGCAACTCAGATTTTCAAATAATCTAGAAGAAAAAAAAATTCCATAAGCCCTCCAAAAAATTTGGATAAAACTCTTAAGAGCAAATAGAAGTCTATCATAGTCATTTATAAAGTTAAAAACTAAGGATGTTTAAAGAAACCACAGTAGCATGATGTTTTGTTTAAGTCTGTGCATTTGTCCATTCTACAACTATTGAGCACCTATTATGTGCCAAGCATGTCTTAGGTGGTGTGGCTGTAATTATCAGCACTGGACGTATTCTATTACCGAAGAATTTAGTTTGCCAGAAAAATTGCAAAATAAGATGGTAGTTCTGATAAAACATACTTCTCATGCTAGTGATGTAAACAGGACATTTTGGGATCTTTTCCCAGAGAGCTAACTAGTGAGGGAAATACACACTTAAAGATGGTTTGCTGGAGGAGGAGATATTCTCAGCTATGTTTAAATTTGTTCTACATTGTGGCTCAGCAGTTAAGCCACTGATTCAGACACCTGTTTCCCATGCTGGAGTGCTGGTTCAAATCCCAGCTACTCCGCTTCCAATCAGGAGTTCTGCTAATGTGTCAGATGATGGTTCAAATTGTTGGGCTGCTGCAACCCACATGGGAAACCCAGATGGAATCCCAGGCTTCAACCTGGCCCAACCCTGGCTATTGTGGGCATTAGGGGAGTGAACTAGATAACAGAAGATAGATATGGCTGGAATATAGTCAACTATGATTTGTTTGTTGTTTACTATTCAAACCTAGCAAGTTTGTGTTTGACTAAGACCCTCTGTCTCCCTCTCTCTCCCTCCCTCTCCCTCTCCCTATTTCTTTCTCTCTCTCTGTTACTGTCACTGTCTCATGGCCACTCTGCCTTTCAAGTAGATGAAAATAAATACTAAATGGATTTTATTTGTCTCAGTAGAGAATCTTTACAGATTTTTATCTTATACATTTTAGCAGCAATAGAGCAGTGGCGATCAGAAGGTAGAATTGCTGTCTGGTTACACGTTCCCATCCTCCAAAGCCGGTTTATCGCCCCTGCGGCTTCCCTGGGCTTCAGCTTTCACCACGCAGAACGGGATTCCGCAACGCTGACTCTCTGGCTGAGGGAAGGGCCCAGCAGACTACCAGGATATGCCACACATCAAGTGGGAGTTGCAGGTCAGTTTCAAACTCATAATAACCACAATTAATATTAAAAGTTCACCCAATTTCTTACTTCTTCCAGTTAAGCAAATAGTTTATTCACAGGGAATGAATTATTTGAAAAAACAACCATCTTTAGAGTATTCATACTTTTATATCTTTTTTGAACATTATCTAGTGTGCATGAATTTACTTTTGTTCCTGGAACCTTTTATTTAAGGTTTATAAAGTTTGTGCATTTCATATATACAAATTTAGAAATATAGTAATTCAACTCCTCCTGCCCTCATTCCCACCCTTCTTACTCCTCCCTCTCCTATTCTCATTGTTTTTACTAAGATAATTTTCAATTAACTTCATACACATGACATTAACCCTAACTGTGAGTTCAACAAATATTATGGAAAAAATCAAAAAATAAAAAAACTGTACCTCAACAATCTAAGCAAGGGCTGTTCAAAGTCATTGCATTGCACAGTGTCAGTTTCACTTCTATAGATTACATTTTAAATACTCCATTAGTTACCACAGATCAGGGAGAACATATGGTATTTGTCTTTTTGGGACTGGCTTATTTCAATAAGTATAATGTTTACCAATTGCATCAATTTTGTTGCAAACAATAGGATTTAATTTTTGTTACCACTGTATAGTATTTCATGGTATGAATATGGTATATTACATATACCACATATGTATATATATGTAATATAATGTTACATATATATGTATATAACATATGCATGTACATGTATATATGTATATAATATACATACATATAATGTAATATAAATATGGTATATTACATATACCATAATTTCTTTATCCTGTCAATAGCTAATAAACATCTGGGCTGATTCTATATCTTAGCTATTGTGAATTGAGCTGCAGTGAACATGGGGGTATAGATAATTATTTCATATGCTGATTTCATTTTCTTTGGGGAAATTCCCAGAATCGGGATGGCCGGGTCATATGGTAGGTCTATATTCAGATTTCTGAAGTATCTTCATACTGTCTTCCACAGTGGCTGTACCAGTTTACATTCCCACCAACAATGGATTACGGTACTTTTTTCCCCACATCCTCACCAGCATTTGCTGTATGTTGATTTATATATGAAAGCCATTATAACTGGGGTGAGGTAAAACCTCATTATGGTTTTGATTTGCATTTCCCGCATGGCTAGTGATCCTGAGCATTTTTTTCAAGTGTCTGTTGGTCATTTGAAAGTCCTCTTTTGAAAAATACCTGTTCAACTCCTTTGCCCATTTCTTAATTGGATTATTTGTTTCATTGTTGTTGAGTTTCTAGACCTCTTTATATATTGTGGACAGTAATCAGTTGCGTAGTTTGAAAATATTTTCTCTCATTCTCTCAGTTGCCCCTTCACTTTTCTGAGTGCTTCTTTTGCAGTGCAGAAGCTTCTCAATTTGATGTAATCCAATTTGTCAATTTTGGTTTTGATTGCCTATGTTTCTGGGCCTTTTCCAAGATGTCTTTGCCTATGCCAATGTCTTGCAGGATTTCCCCAATGTTCTCTAATAATTTGATGATAATATTGAGTCATAGATTTAGGTCTTTGACCCATTTTGAGTGGATTTTTTGTAAGGTGTGAGGTAGGGTCTTCCTTCATACTTCTGCTTGTGGAAATCCAGTTTTCCCAGTACCATTTGTTGAAGAGACTGCTCTTGCTCCAGAGATTGATTTTAGCTCCTTTGTCAAAGATAAGTTGGTTGTAGAGACATGGGTTGATTTCTGGCATTTCTATTCTGTCCTGTTGGTTTATCCATCTGTTTTAGTACCAGTACCAGTCTGTTTTGATTATAACTGCCCGGTAGTATGTCTTGAAATCTGGTATTTTGATGCCTGTGGCTTTGCTTTTGTTGTTTAAGTTTCCATTATATATTCAGGGTCTCCTGTGTTTCCATATGAATTTCAGTATTTTTTTTCTAGATCTGAGAAGAATATCATTGTTATTTTTATTGGGATCTCATTAAATCTGTAAATTGCTTTTGGTAGTATGGACATTTTGATGAACATGGAGGATTTTTCCTTTTTTTTTTTTTTTTGTCTCCTATTTCTTTCATGTTTTCTAATTCTCTTCGTAGAGATCTTGATATCTTTGGTTAAATTTATTCCAAGGTATTTGACTTTTTTGTAGCTATTGTGAATGGCTGCAACGGCCAGGGCTGCACCAATCCGAAGCCAGGAGCCAGGAGCCCCTTCCAGCTCTTCCACATGGGTACAGGGGCCCAAGGACTTGGGCTGTTTTCTACTGCCTTCCCAGGCCAGAGCAGAGAGCTGGATCAGAAGTGGAGCAGCTGAGCCTCGAAGCAGCGCCCATATGGGATGGCGGTACTGCAAGCGGCAACTTCACCTGCTGCGCCACAGCACCAGCCCCCTGCAGATGAGTTCTCATAGCATTGTCTACACTGTGTTCCAAGGAGTAGTTAAAGGTTCAGAAACATAGAGGAGAGCAAAGTGAAACAGTTTTCTTCACTGTGGGATTTCTTAGAGACTTTATGTGCAATATGCAGCTCCAAGTGACGGGGGCGGGGAGGGGACGGAGAGACAGTATGTTGTAGTTTTCAAATGTATTTCACCCTTCTGTGAGATTTCTAAGTGATCATTCTTCCTGGAATCATAGTGTCAGGGCCAATGGATCAAAGGAAACTTGGCTACCCCGAGGGTTGTATTCCCTAGGTTGCAGGTGCTGCTGGTCCGGGCTTGGGGAGCTCCTGCAGTGCAGCTGCTGCTCCTGACAGAGGGGACTGTAGTATGCGGCTGTTACGTGTCGCTCCCCCTCTTCATGGAGGAACGACACAGGACCCTGCGCTGTTCTTTTGTCTGCTAGGCCCTCCCCGGGTTTGCTGCTGGTTCTTCCCGGGTTGGCTACTGTCCCTTCCACCTCTGTGGAAGGGCGGTTCCCCCTGGCCACTTTCCCCACTTCCGCAGGGGAGCGGCACACCGCCGGCCGGCTCTCTCGGGGGCTGCACAGGTGTTCCCTCAGATGTTCCCCTTAGATGTTCCTGGTGCATGTTGTCTCTCTCCTCCTATATAGTCCTCTTCCGCCAATCCCAACTCGGCTGCCCACACGCCGAGTACACTGCTCTCCTCCAATCAGGAGCAGGATCAGCTCCTGGAGGTCATCACTCAAGTTGGCAAGAGGCAGCTGCGTAGAAGCTGTTTTCTCCTCTCCCAGCGCCATATTGTGGGAGAGCAGATGCATAGAATAAGTCTTAATTCCAGTAACTTAGTCTAGTCCAAGTTGCTCCCCACAGATCCCCCTTTCTTTTTATTTTTTGGCGTTGATACGCGCCTGTCTTCGGTGCCCCGCGGCACACACTCTGCTCTGCTTGCTAGAGTTGCCCACAGGTGCTTACAAGCCCTACCAATCAGGCAAACCGAATCCGGGTCCTCTCTTCGCCATGTTGTGAGGTTTTTAGGCGCTGATGCGTGCCTGTGTTCGGTGCCCTGCAGCGCATGCTCTGCTCTGCTAGAACTGCCTGCAGGTGCTTACAAGCCCTAGCAATCAGGCAAACCGAATCCAAGCCTTCTCATTGCCGTATTGTGGGGAGACTTATTGGTGTTGATTCGTGCCTATCTTCGGTGACCTGCAGCTCATACTCTGGTCAAGCTGCCTGCTGGTGCTTATCGCCTTACTAATCAGGCAGACCGAATCCAAGCCTTCTCATTGCGGTATTGTGGGGAGACTTACTGATGTTAATTCGTGCCTGTCTTCGGTGACCTGCGGCACATAAGCTGCTAGCCGCCCACAGGTGCTCACCACCTCCCTAATCAGGCAGACCGAATCCAAGCTCTCTCATTGCCATGTTGAGGGGAGGCCTTATTTTTCTCTATTTCTCTATCTCCGGGCATTCCTATCTCTCCCATTTTACTTCTATCTTCCAGCATTCCTATTTCTCTCATTTTACTTCTAAATTTCTGTTTCTCTTATCCCTGCGGCTTCCCGGCGCCCGCCCCGAGGCTGCTTCTTGGCGGCTTCCCGGCTCTGAGCGGCTTCAGCCCGCGCTTCTCTCATCTGCGCGGCTTCCCGGCTTCGCACGCGCACTCAGCGGTCTCCGCGCCCCTTCGCGCCCGCACCACGGCCTCGCACTAGCCCCACGTTCCCTATCTATTCACGCCCCGTGCTCTTTCTGCACGCAGCGGCTTCCGCGAATCACACAGCGTAGCTCACGTTTCCGCCACTGGTATTCAATCTAAGTTCCCTGGGCTAACCTGGCGAATTCAACCTAGCTTACGCGTCTCCGCCTTATGGTTTGGCTTCCCGTCTTTTGCTCCCCGGGCTAATCTGACGGATTCCAACCTGGCCCACGTTTCCGCCTCTGGTTTAACTTTTCGCCTTTTGCTCCCCGGGCTGACTTAAAGAATTCCAACATAGCTTACGTTTCCGCCTCGGCCTGCCCCCGCAGCTTCAATTTCCCTAACATTTTTCTCTACCCGGTATGTTTCCCTAAGTTTTCTTCCAACAATATTCCTCCCTCATTTCTCCTGGCTTCTCCCCACAGTCCGTATCCGAGTCTGTTTGTTCTAGCTTTCACTTTCGCTTTCAACCTTAGAGATTTCTCCCAGCTTCCCCCCGTAGTCCGTATCTGAGTCTATGCCTAGGCTTTTGATAGCTTCTTCCGGCACCTTTTCCGTCCAGCTTTTCCTTAGGCTCTTTGCTAGTCTCTCTCTCCGGTATTTTCCCACTTCTTCCTGTTTCTTCCCGCTTCTTCCCTCCTAAGTTTCCTATGCGAGTCACAGCACCATTATGTCGCTCCCCCTCTTCATGGAGGAACAACACAGGACCCTGCACTGTTCTTTTGTCTGCTCGGCCCTCCCCGGGTTTGCTGCTGGTTCTTCCCGGGTTGGCTACTGTCCCTTCCACCTCCGTGGAAGGGCGGTTCCCCCTGGCCACTTTCCCCACTTCCGCAGGGGAGCGGCACACCGCCGGCCGGCTCTCTCGGGGGCTGCACAGGTGTTCCCTCAGATGTTCCCCTTAGATGTTC